AATTTCTTTATGGTAAGGGTTACCAGAATCTGGAATAAGCTTCCAAGTGAGGTGGTGCTCTCCCCTACTTTGGAGGTCTTTAAGAAGAGACTAAACAAACACCTGGCTGGGGTCGTCTGACCCCAGCCCTCTTTCATGCCTAGGGCAGATGGCCAGACTCAATGATCTACTGAGGTCCTTTCCAACCCTAAAAATTTATTAAATCCATGGCTTGGGTACCTCAAAATAGGAATAGGCGTTTCAGTGCTGGTTGATCAACATCACATATTTCAACCTCTGCAGGAGTGTTGGAGACCAACACCTTTATAAAAGTGTCAAGTTCCTATGCTGACCAGAGTCAAAATATCGGTGGTATCCAATCTGGATCTCAAACTGTCTTTTAAACTGCATTCGCTCAGAGAGAAGGGAAATCTCTCTCACGCCGCATTGTATAGCATCTGGCATCTCCTACCTCCTACGCTACAGGCACTAAACTTGTACCAAGCTGTAGCACATCTATTAAGTTTTAAGGCGCTGTACCTTATGCACTTTATTTAAAGTACAAAAGTTACAGCGCCTTTGGAAATGCCTGCTGTTCACGTGTATAGGCACCCAAAATGTCTATATGGTATCTAGTGGGTAGATATGTTACCCACCAATGCTACGCATTTACCAGTGGTCTTTACCTTCAGAATCATGGAATCAAAGAATCACAGAGAAGTAGGGCTGGAAAGAACCTCCAGAGATGTAGTCCCACCCCTGCCCAAGGCAGGATCACCCCTTTCCAAACTGTCCTATATAAATACATTGTCTAACTCAGAGGTTCCCAACCACCTGGGGGTTGCAAACCTGAAGGGTTGGCTACTGGGTCATGTGAGGGGTTAAAGCTGGTCGGCAAGCACAGCCCCAGGAGGAAGGCAGCCAGCTCCATGCACCCCGCCCCACTCCTGCCGCCATGGCTGCACCTAGCCGTGCCCATGCAGCAGGTACTGTGGCCCGCAGCAGGTACTGTGGCCCGCAGCAGGCCGGGCAGGAACCCTCAGCCCTGCCTATGGCTGGGAGCAGGGTGATGTCAGAGGGGAAATGCCCAGAGCAGAGGGCGAGGAGGTGGCTCCGCTGCTTGCTCCTAAGGAAGGCAGCAGAGCCCTTCCTTCCTGGGCAGGTCCAGCTGGGCCCTCCCCGAGCAACCACCTGTGCAGCTCCCTCCCCTGCAGGGTCCCCTTGTGCCCACAGTTGTGGTGCCCCAACCTGATCGGGTCCTCGCAACCACACACCCCCCATAAAAATTAAATTCAAATATGTAAATTTGTGTCAATTAAGTTAATGTAATTGTGTGTTAATTAAATGTAAATGTGAGAATTAAATTTAAATATGTTTGCCGGTCCACAGTGAAAAGGTTGGGAACCACCGGTCTAACCTATTAGCAAAACCACACAGTCAAGCCTGACACAACCACAAGACACAACATTCTAAACTGATGCAGGTAAAGCAGGAAGACAGTGGCCAATGTCCTGCTCATGCAAAGGCTGTTAAAATATACTTCAGAGCTATAAGGCACAGGGCCATGCCCCCTACTACAAAGAAAGGCAACCCCCCCCTCCCCCTCCCCCAGCCACTCCTTTCTGTACCACTCTGACCATGGAGTACAATTTCTCTCCCGTCTCCCACGGCTTCATAAGTATTATTGCCAAGAGCTCCGACACCTCTTCTACCAGTTGCTTCAGTACCCTGGGATGAAGTTCATAAGGTCCTGTTGACTTTGCATTCAGGCCCAAAGCTCTCGGTCTGTTTCCTTTTTTATCTCTTCCCTCTACTTGTACTCTTCCTTCTGCAAAGAGTCCTTATTAGGTGTCTGGCTCCAGCTTAATCGTTTTGCGGAGACTGAGGCAAAGTAGCTGTTGAGGGGCTCCGCCTTCTTTGCATCTTCTATTAAGAGCTCACCCTGGCTTTTTAGCAGTGGACACACAGCTGTGAAAAGGGCCAATATAGTGCCATTTCTTTTAAGGGAACTACAGACTGGTTAGCCTTAACTCAACACCTGGGAAATTATTGATGCATATTGTAAGGCAGCCTAGTACCTTGGTCATTCTTTCCTGGCCAACATACTCTTCTTGTTGTCTTCAACTTCTCAAACCAGGCACAGGTCTTTTAGTTTTTAAGGGCTTTTAAAAAACAACTAAAACAACAAAAACAAAAGCAAAAATGTTTGCCTTCCTGATTTAGTCTCTTTAGGTTCTTGCCATTGTGGTATGCTTTCTTGATGACTGGCCCATGTTTCCACTGCCTGCATGCTTTCCTTTTGCATTTGAGGCATCCGAGAAGCTCTTTGTGCAGCCATGTGAGTCTCTTACCATTGTTCCTGTGCTTCTACGGTGTCAAAAAGGCTTCTTTTTGGGCTTCCAATACTGTGCCCTTTAGAAGCTCCCAGCCCTCCTGGGCACCTTCATCCTTCAGTTTGCCTTCCCCTGGCATCAGGCCTACTCTCTCCTTAAGTCTGCTGAAATCTGCCTTTTGGACATCCAGTGTCTTTGTTCTGCTGACCTCATACTTTTCCTGTCTCAGGATCATGAATTCTATCATCTCGTAATTGCTTCCTCCCGAGCTTCCCATCACCCTCACATCCTCCAACCAGTTCTTCCTTATTGGTCAGGAGAAGATCCAAGATTAATGATCCCCTACTTGCATCTTCAACCTTCTGAAACAGGAGTTACCTTCCACACAAGTTAGAAACCAGCTCAACATTTTGTTTGGGTATATTAATCTTCCACAGCAGATGTCTGGAAAACTAAAGTCTCCCATCAATACCATCTCATGACTTTTGGACAACTTTGTCACCTCCAAGAAGAGTGCCTCCCTCCACCTCTTCACCCAAATGTATTCTGATCTTCTACCTTTTTCCTCCTGAACCAGGGAATAAGAATGTTTTTGACATAGTAGGCAACCTCACTACCTTTTACAGATGCTGAATCAAATGCCAAAATATATAGATATTTAGAATTTATTTTATTATAATGATTGAGGCACTGGTAGGCTTCCATATTCTGCTTCTTGCCTGCCTAGATACCTGCCCTGGCATAGTTTACTCCTCTGCAGCTCTTTCCTGGGCTAACCACTTCTCCTAGAAGCCTAACTGGAGCCTTCTGGCTCCCTGTTACCTTTCCCTTAAACTACTTATTGCATCAGACCATACTTAACAGTTATGGGGGAAAATGGGAGCTCTGTGGTGTATGGATACTGTAAATGTTGAAGGGGTTGGAGGGTCAAAAAACTTGTACAGAGGAATACTAGACAACAAATTAAAGGAATTGGGGGGGAGGGGAAAAGAGTGTTTATACAAGGCAAAAAGAAGGAATTGAATCAAGTACTTATGAATCTGTATGAACTACTTTAGTGATGCTAGCACCTGTAAATCCAGTTTAACTGTGTGGTACATTTTATCTGCTTTGTGTTGCTTCAGGATGGCCTTGATTATCTGGATTAAAATCAATAGCCCTAGCACCAAAAGTGAATTTTTAAAAAAGGGTGCACCCTTATATTGTTAGAAATTTGACAGTATTAAATGTAGGTTGAAGGTTCAACATAGAGAAATGCAAAGTGCTGCATCTGGCAAGGAAGAACCCCTAGCACACCTACAAGCTGGGCATTGCTAACCTGACCAGCACTACAAATGAAAGGGATCTGAGGGCAACAATAGAACGCAGCATGAATATGAGCCAGTAATGCAACGCAGTAGCCACTAGAGCCAATAGAACTCTGGCATGCATCAATTGATGCATCTCCAATAAATCCAAGGAAGTGATTCTCCCACTTTACTCAACATTGGTGCAGCCGCAGCTAGAGTATGGCATCCAGCTCTGGGCGCCGCACTTCCAACAAGGACATGCTAAAGCTCAAAAGGGTTCAGAGAAGGGCCACCCGTATGATCAGGGATTCGCATGGCAAGCCATACAAGGAGAGGCTGAATGATCTCAGACTCTTCAGCCTAAAGAAAAGAAGGCTGAGAGGAGACCTGATTGTGGCTTAGTGCTTGCTATATCAGAGGCATACATCAGGGACTCAGTGAGCAACTGTTCACCAGGGCACCCTGGGGGAAAACTAGAAACAACGGCCATAAACTCCTGGAAGATAGTTTCAGGTTGGACATTAGGAAAAACTTCTTTACGACTAGGATGTTCAGACTATGGAACAAACTCCCCACAGAGGTTGTGCAATCATCTACCCTAGAGGTCTTCAAGAGAAGGTTGGACTGTCACCTGGCTGGGGTCATCTGACCCCAGAAGTCTTTCCTGCTCATGCAGGGGGCTGGACCCGATGATCCTTCGGTCCAGCCCTATGATTCTATGATTACATTCTTTTTAGACCTCGGGTTTAACCTTTATGTATAAAAATGTAAATACGTAGGAAAAATGACAAGGACATTTCTAAATAAAAACCCTACAAAGACAGAATACTTAAAGTATCAGTAATATACATTATAAAACATTAAATATGTTGCAGTTTTTCAGAGAGATGTGTTATGAAAAATTCAGAGTTTAACACATCTGAATTTCTTGAAAGGTTAGGTATGGAAATATACCAAGAAGAGCCCAAGAACCTTAACTCTGCTTTTCCATCACACTACTATTATTTAAAACTGACCTTTTTGCCACGTAATCCAAAACCACAAATGCTAAAATATGAATTATAATTGTGGGGTTAATGCCAGTATATGCTCAGTTACCTTACCTTTCACATACTAAAAGTCAACCCGAAACCTAATCATGTAAAATAAATAATGGACACTTTTTATAGCAAACTGCTCAGAACAAAACCGATGAAAGCTTACTTATGCCAAAGCTAAGAAAACCATAATCCTGTGTCTTTTTTTTCTGTTCAACATTCAGAGAAATCTATTTGTTTAAAAAAAAAACATATATACACAAGGGAGAACCTTAGATTAGAAAAAGTTGTCCAGTACCAATGGTTTTATGAATAAGAATAAAAGGCAATCAACCTTAAATTTGTAAAATCTAAATATGAACCTGTAGCAGCAGAAGGCTCTTGTGTTTCAGCAGTTATGAAGGAAGTCTCAGGATCTACCATTTTTTCTTGTAAACTAATATTTGCATCAAGAGCTGTGGTATGTGATACATCTCCAGAGACTACAGGTGCTTGTTCACAGAAGTTTTCATCAGATTCAATGGAAATTTCTATTTAAAATAGAAGGGAGAGGGGAAAACAGAAAGGAAGTTTGTAGGTGCAAAATAAAAATACACTGAGAAAAAAAGGGAATTATTCCACACTACTAGCTGCTGAAGACTCTGTAGGAAAAAGTGAATGCATCTGTTTCACCTTTGTTTTAGGTGGATTGTAAGACTGTATGCAATAAATAAATAAATAAATACATAAATAAATAAAATTTCCCTATTAACTTTGGAATATCACATCAACTGATGCCAACAACTAGACAAGCCTGACCTGTTGAGGATAGATACTATTCCAACTGGCTGAATTTCCTGAGAATGTGGGGAAAGGGAACAGAGAGGCTCTATCAAAGTATTTAGATAGTACAGGAATAATTAGCATAACTACTTAAAGTATCTTGTAGAAATTCTACCTATCAAACACTAAATGATGAATTAATTATAACATGCAGCTAAAAACCTCTTTCATAAGGCAACAAAAAAATACCTTTACAACAAATTACTTACCTTTCTTAGGATCCTTTAGGCTACATGCTGAATCTTTCAAAGGTCCAATTTCTGTCAGAGTTGTTGTGACACAGTCTATGTTTAAAATGTCATGACTTCCACTGGATGAGAGCCTTGAGGATCGTCTCCTAATCTGGTCTCTTTCATGGTTATCTGGAGAGCTCTTCAGTTTTTCCTGAGCTAAAAGATATTACAACGTTTTAAATTTCACTATGTAATAATATTTCAATCCTGAAAATATTAAAGCATAAGATACCAGCACTGGTTAAAGAGTGTAGCTCTCCTAAGCCTCTGTCTATGGGATATTAATCATTAGATGTTTACTGAGCAGTTGACTAATTAGCTGTGCAGTAAATGTTAAGTGTCTACACATGCTCCCCTATTAGGTTGTAGTAAACTAATTTATTCCACAGCAAAATAGTACTTCTAATATCCTGCCACGACATAAGAAGCTCCACAGCAACACACATGTAAACACTGCACTGGCAGGCTGGAGCATAATGGTGCTTTATTGTCAGGGCTAGCCCCGCACGGACCCGCTTGTGTCCCAGCCAGCCCCTCCACAGCACATTGAGCTAGAGGCAGCAGCCCCGGGTGGGCAGGCTGACCCTGCCAAGACCTGCTGCCAGCCAGGGCAACTCCAACATGGCTCAACATCCTACGCAGGAATAAACTCCAGAGCTTATTGCTCCCAGGCACATGTTCAAATGGTGAGCCCAGGAGCAATGAGCTCCAGAACTTATTCATGTGCATTAATTGCATGTGTAGGTAGGCCCAGTGGCAGCAAATTCTTCAAGTATCCCTATTCTTCTATTTACCACAGTACCAGGGGTCACTCATGGTTGTTGCCTGACCCTCAGCTTTGAAGGTTTTCTGAATTCAATTCTTCAAATAAATTGAGTTCAGTGTCCTTGGAGCAGTTTAAACAGTATTTAAAAAAGCCCAGGTTATTAAATTAAAAAGTTCTCTACTATCAAAGGGATACATTCCAATGGGTAGAAACTGAAACTATATAGTCCAGGTAAAAATAAAGTATGATTTTTTCTTAAATGGTGAAAGTAATTAACTATTAGAATACGAGAACTTAGTCCAAGCACAAGTTATTGGGCTTAATGAAGCAGCAAATCACTGGATAAAATTACATGGTCTCTGGTTTTGGGTAGTCAGACTTCATCACAATGATCCATTGTAGCCCAATATTAATGTGCATCATTGCAATGTATTCCTTCTAGAATAAACACTGCCTTTTAACCATCTAATACTGAAATTCAAGGACAATATTAAAAGACGGCATTTTACAACACCGTTCTTCACTACAATAAGTAATAAGTGCTGCAGTATTAAAATGTTATGGATACTCACCCAAGTTTTTTTCAACCCTAGGACGTTTTGATGGAACTTCACCTATTTTAGGTATTTTCCGATGTCTTAATTCCAATGTTATTGGCTGCAGGGTTTGAGAACTTTGCTCTGCAATTTTAACAACAGAGGAAGTATATTTCACTAGAATACCAATAAAATAAAGATGAATAACTAAAATTGATATCTATAATTTTAAAAGCTACTTTTATATTATAAATGAGTTGAAATTAAAAATCAAACACTGACCCTCTAACTCCATTTCACCAATTTCTATTCCTCTAATAACAATGAAAGCTGGTTAGTCAGTCACTGAGATAATGCACAGCTGATCAGAAATGCACTATGACCTCCCATGTCTTGCACCTAATACTTCTATTAAATGCAGCCCAAAGTTGCATCCAACTTTTGTCCAGCTGCAATGCACTCCACACTAATACTGAGTCTATGATATAGCAAGACTCTTCCACCCTTCTCCATAGCGCTGCCATCCTGACAGGTGTCACCCATTTTGTATTTCTTTTTTTGATTAGGCTGAGGTGTAGCACCTTTATTTGGGTCAGAGGTCCACTAAGGCAGTTTTGGTGAGCTGTCATGGGCCGTCAGCACCCTCTCCCCCCGCCCCCGCAACAGCTCACCAAAACTCCTTAACTGGCTCTGCCCTGGGGGCTCCACACTGTGATCATCTAGCAATCCCAGAGTCTCCATGCAGACTGGCCCGGGACCCACACAAGCAGGGCATTCAGCCAGGCAGATGGGATGGAGCCACTGGTGGGTGAGAAGCAGCATTCGGCAGTGGAATGGGTGACTATGCCCAGCATTTTGGGGGCATTGACACCATGCGGCCACAATCTGTTACCTGTACGCCTTTATCCATAGAACCGGTGGCCGCCACAGGGACGTGTGGGCAGCGAAGTGTGGCGCTGCCCTAGGCTATAGCCCCAGCCTGTGCTGTCATGGAACCAAGATCCTGATCCCAGCCCTGCCCCCACTTGCCTGTCCTGCTCCCTGCCCACCTGCAGCTGCATCCCATCTGCCTGGCTGCACACCCTCCCTGCATGGAGCCCAGAGCCCTCAGAAATGGGTCCAGGGCAAATGGGCCATGGTGTCCATGCATTACGGCCAAATCCTAAAGCGGTGGTGGAGACTGGCCGTGGCAGCTGCAAGGAGCCAGGGCTGTGGGGCCTGCTGGGAAGCTAGTCTGGCTGACGTGCCTGGAGACGACAGGACCAGCCGTACGCACCATGACCCAGACCTGCCTTGTGCCCGGGCCAGGTTGGGTCGAGCGATCTGCCACAGGTTGGACAAAATCCCCTGGCAGGCCCAATCCAGCTCACAGGCTATAACTTTGCCCACCCCTGTGCTAGCTCCAGCTTAGCTTCCAGTCAGTCAAGATCCTTCTGAATTGTGTCCCCACCCTCCAGTGTGTTCACCATCCTTCCCAAATTCATGTCACCTGGAAATAGGGAATATGGCAGCTCTCTATTCCAATGTTCAAATCATTAATAAACAAGTTGAATAGCACTGGGTCCAGTACAGGTCCCAGTGGGGCTGCATTCAAAAACTCCTACCATCTGGACATAGATCCATGTATAATTAATTCCCTCTTGCTTGAAGCTATTGAGCCAGTTGTCTCTCCACCTTGTAGAAGTTGTGTCTGGCCCACATATCTCCAACATTTTTTGAGAGAATATTGTGTGGGACTTTGTCAAAAGCCTTGCTGAATCCAGACAAGGTTCTTTGGGTGAATCTGATATCTTTTATTAGACCAACTTAAATAGTTGGGTGAAAATGTTAGCAAGCTTTCAGGTTTAAAAAGCCTTCAGCAAGCTGAGGAAGTTTCTGCAGTTGGTGTGTGCTCTTCCTGGATGGAATGAAAAGTAAAGAAGCCAGAGGCTGGGCTGGTATGCATTCAAGACAGGTAGTCAGTGAAGATGTAAACTGAGGAGTCAGTGGGTGAAAGACAGGCTGGGGAGGGTTGGGGAGTGGAGGGAAGAAGGGGGATGAATGTAGCAGTTAAATAGTGGAAAGGTACCTGGGGAGTAAGATCTCAGGCAGGTTATAATGTCTCATAAATCCAATGTATATATTTAGTCCATGATTTTTTGTATCCAGGAGGTTGATGAAGCGAAGTCCGCTGCATTCCCTTCATCAGGAAACAAGGTTAAGGCTAACCAGTCTGTAGTTCCCCAGGTGCTCCTTTTTGTCTTTTTAAAGAAGTGGCACTATATTGGCCCTTTTCCAGTCTTCTGGTACCTCTCCATTTCTCCCACGACTTCATAAGTATTATTGCCAAGAGCTCTGACACCTCTTCTACCAGTTGCTTCAGTACCCTGGGATGAAGTTCATCAGGTCCTGTTGACTTTGCATTCAGGCCCAAAGCTCTCGGTCTGTTTCCTTTTTTATCTCTTCCCTCTACTTGTACTCTTCCTTCTGCAAAGAGTCCTTATTAGGTGTCTGGCTCCAGCTTAATCGTTTTGCGGAGACTGAGGCAAAGTAGCTGTTGAGGGGCTCCGCCTTCTTTGCATCTTCTATTAAGAGCTCACCCTGGCTTTTTAGCAGTGGACACACAGCTGTGAAAAGGGCCAATATAGTGCCATTTCTTTTAAGGGAACTACAGACTGGTTAGCCTTAACTCAACACCTGGGAAATTATTGATGCATATTGTAAGGCAGCCTAGTACCTTGGTCATTCTTTCCTGGCCAACATACTCTTCTTGTTGTCTTCAACTTCTCAAACCAGGCACAGGTCTTTTAGTTTTTAAGGGCTTTTAAAAAACAACTAAAACAACAAAAACAAAAGCAAAAATGTTTGCCTTCCTGATTTAGTCTCTTTAGGTTCTTGCCATTGTGGTATGCTTTCTTGATGACTGGCCCATGTTTCCACTGCCTGCATGCTTTCCTTTTGCATTTGAGGCATCCGAGAAGCTCTTTGTGCAGCCATGTGAGTCTCTTACCATTGTTCCTGTGCTTCTACGGTGTCAAAAAGGCTTCTTTTTGGGCTTCCAATACTGTGCCCTTTAGAAGCTCCCAGCCCTCCTGGGCACCTTCATCCTTCAGTTTGCCTTCCCCTGGCATCAGGCCTACTCTCTCCTTAAGTCTGCTGAAATCTGCCTTTTGGACATCCAGTGTCTTTGTTCTGCTGACCTCATACTTTTCCTGTCTCAGGATTATGAATTCTATCATCTCGTAATTGCTTCCTCCCAAGCTTCCCATCACCCTCACATCCTCCACCGATTCTTCCTTATTGGTCAGGAGAAGATCCAAGATTAATGATCCCCTACTTGCATCTTCAACCTTCTGAAACAGGAGTTACCTTCCACACAAGTTAGAAACCAGCTCAACATTTTGTTTGGGTATATTTATCTTCCACAGCAGATGTCTGGAAAACTAGTCTCCCATCAATACCATCTCATGACTTTTGGACAACTTTGTCACCTCCAAGAAGGGTGCCTCCTCCACCTCTTCTTCCCAACTTGGTAGACTATAAGAAATCCCCACCATTATATTGGTTCTGTCTCTTTTGCTTTCTATCCTGACGCAAATGTATTCTGATCTTCTACCTTCTTCCTCCTGAACCAGGGAACAAGCATATGTATTTTTTTTTTACATATAGGGCCATACCACCACCTTTTCTCCACAGCCTGTCCTTCCGAAAGAGCATGACCTTCAATGTTGACATTCTAGTTGTAAGAGTTGTCACACGGTCTCTGCGATACAAGTCAGGTCATACTTCCTGTCACAGGCTGCGACTTCCACCTCATCTTGTTTGTTCCCCATGCTTCTCGCATTTCTATACCTACACTTGGATATATTGCTTTCCGATCCGATTGTTCCTCTTATGCATCCCTTGTTGCTGTCCTGTGGCTCTCTGGACTTCTTAGGTTGAGCTGCTTCTTTCAGTCTTCTCCCCTCTGAATTGTTTTTTCTTTTGCTGTTGAGTTTTGTTCACCATCCCCTGTGGAATCTAGTTTAAAAGCCTTCCTTACTAGGTCACCCAAATGGTACCCAAAGATGCTCTTTCCCATTCTGGTTATCTGTACCCCATCTCTTGATAGCAGTCCTCCTTTCCAGAAGGAGAATCATTCATATCAACACCCTCTCAACCATGCATTTACTTCCAAGACACGATGATCCTTGTTGTCATGACCCAAAAGGCATGATTGTGTGTGTGCGCTTCGGCATCAGAATTATCCACGTTAAGTTGCAGAGCATTGCACGGAGTTTCCTGTAGCAAGAGGAAACTCCGGTGCAGGGACCAGTTTCCTGCCTTTTCTGCAGCTTCTTTTGCAGAGTGTATTGCTCACGTTGCAAGAGGAATGCACGGTGCAAAAGAGTTCCCACCACCAGTATGCAAATTCGTTCCCCGTAATTGGCTAGTGCTAAATTATTCACACGTGGCGGCTAGCGATTGGCCTGTTAGCCGTATAAGAGGCTTGAGCAGTTTCTGCCCAAGCCGAAGAGGACTCCACATCCATCTCGTGGGGACTCTGGGTACACGGCAGGGTAATAGAAACCCTGTGTGAGATCCAGAGGAGCATGGCGGCCTGATCCACCGCCCACCTCTTCCCGTCTTCGAGCGCGACTAATATAAGACGTATTTACGATTTCTACATTGGTGGCCTGTTCACCCAGAGCATCCGGAGCTCTGCGCCGTGGAGCCTAGCAACCTCCACGAGACCGTCTGTGTTGTGTCTGTCTGTAACTGCAACTTAATCAAGCTTTCCAGCCTACACCATTGCCATCTCGGTGTAAGTAAACAATCTTTTAAACTACCGATACGCGTCCGTGCCTAATTCCAGAGCAAAGGCCTTCCCTCTCCACCCCCGCGTGCCCGGGCTGCTGGCCACAGCCCGTGTGCAGCACGAAAAAGGGCTCGGGGCGCTCCCTGCCCGCACACTTGCCTGGGCCCTTAACTTCCATAAAAAGCCAGAATGTGTATAATTTGCACCTGAAATTTCTTTAATGTTTTTTTTTCCTTAACATTTAGGTAAAAAGCATTCTTCATTTAACTTCATATGACTTACTGACAGGTAGTTGGGTCTTCCGTTTCCTGCAGAAAAATGGAAAGCACGGATTTTCCCTTTTAACCAAGGAAAATGTGGATTTATC